ATTAATATTATATATTACATTGTACTATAACATTATACTGTAATATTATTAGTAATATTACATTTAATATAAAACATATAATATTATATAGTAAAGGTCTTCCCCTGGCATTAAGTCCAGTAAAATAATAAATGTAATAAATAATAATAATAATAATAAAGTAAAAGAATTGAAATGTAACGATAACAGTAATAATAGAGTAAAATAATAAATGTAATAATAAAAGAGCAAAATAATTTAAATGTAATAATAATAATAATAGAGTAAAATAATAAATGTAATAATAATAGAGCAAAATAATATAAATGTAATAATAACAACAACAATAATAAATGTAATAACAATAATAAATAGAGCAAAATAATAAATGTAATAGATAAAGTAAATGTTCTCCCCTGACATTAAGTCAGTCATTTCCAACTCTGGGACTCGGGTGCTCATCTCCATTTCTAAGCTGAAGAGCCGGCGTTGTCCATAGACACCTCCAAGGTCATGTGGCCGGCATGTCTGCATGGAGCGCCCTTACCTTCCTACCAGAGCGGTACCTATTGATCTACTCACACTTGCATGTTTCCGAACTGCTAGGTTGGTAAAAGATCTATATATATATATATACACACTATTATTATTATTATTAATAATATTATTATTATAGTAATATTATTTTCTATTTATTTCCTGCAGCGAGCAAGTCTTTAAACAATGCCAATAATAATAATAATATCTATTTTCTTCCTCCAAGTCTTAAAAACAGTAATTTATCTGTTTTCTTCCTGCCGTGAGAAAAAATAGAAATTGGACGCCGACAATCGCCTTTTCTTGCTTTATTTTTGGGACCGGCAGAGAGAGCATTTGGGGGAAAGGACATCCATCGATATATCTCTTTTCTTCCAAAATAAAGCAAGAGAGGCCGCATTCCTATGTGTATATATAGAGATCTCGCTCTCCTTCCGCTGCCTTCTTTGTTTAATCAATTTCCTTGTTCTTCTGCCAGTTTGGACTTATTGACGAAGCAGATGTTCGTCAATAATAGAAGCTGAGATTTATTCTTCCCTTCCCTTTTCCCAAAATTCCGGCTCTGCTTTCCTGAAGTTTGGGTCTCAATGGGCCCCATTTCTTGTGTTGTCAAAAGCTATCATGACCAGAATCCATGGGTTGCGAGGAGGCGAATTTAACTAATTTGCGATGCCATAAAAATCTCCAGCAAGCCTGCAAAGAATGAGGAAGTACTCCATCAGTGTCAAGCGACAGCTCCCCTTTGAAGCCCGAAAGACAGTTGCATCTGTCAAGGAGGAAATTTAGGTACCAATTTAACTAATTTAGGATGCCATAAAAATCTCCAGCAAGCCTGCAAAGAATGAGGAAGTACTTAATCAGTGTCGCAAATGGACGGCGAAGGAACAGCTCCCCTTTGAAGCCCGAAAGACGGTTGCATCTGTCAAGTAGGAAATTTAGGTACTGCTAATTTAACTATTTTACGATGCCATAAAAATCTCCAGCAAGCCTGCAAAGAATGAGGAAGTACTTCATCAGTGTCACAAATGGACAGGGAAGCGACAGCTCCCCTTTGAAGCCCGAAAGACAGTTGCATCTGTCAAGGAGGAAATTTAGGTACCAATTTAACTAATTTAGGATGCCATAAAAATCTCCAGCAAGCCTGCAAAGAATGAGGAAGTACTTAATCAGTGTCGCAAATGGACGGCGAAGGAACAGCTCCCCTTTGAAGCCCGAAAGACGGTTGCATCTGTCAAGTAGGAAATTTAGGTACTGCTAATTTAACTATTTTACGATGCCATAAAAATCTCCAGCAAGGATGCAAAGAATAAGGAAGTACTTCATCAGTGTCACAAATGGACAGGGAAGCGACAGCTCCCCTTTGAAGCCCGAAAGACAGTTGCATCTGTCAAGGAGGAAATTTAGGTACCAATTTAACTAATTTAGGATGCCATAAAAATCTCCAGCAAGCCTGCAAAGAATGAGGAAGTACTTAATCAGTGTCGCAAATGGACGGCGAAGGAACAGCTCCCCTTTGAAGCCCGAAAGACGGTTGCATCTGTCAAGTAGGAAATTTAGGTACTGCTAATTTAACTATTTTACGATGCCATAAAAATCTCCAGCAAGGATGCAAAGAATAAGGAAGTACTTCATCAGTGTCACAAATGGACAGGGAAGCGACAGCTCCCCTTTGAAGCCCGAAAGACAGTTGCATCTGTCAAGGAGGAAATTTAGGTACCAATTTAACTAATTTAGGATGCCATAAAAATCTCCAGCAAGCCTGCAAAGAATGAGGAAGTACTTCATCAGTGTCACAAATAGAAGGTGAAGCGACAGCTCCCCTTTGAAGCCTGAGAGACAGTTGTATTTGTCAAGTAGGAATTTAGTGTATCACTTATGCGGGGAGGCTAATTTAACTAATTTACGATGCCATAAAAATCTCCAGCAAGCCTGCAAAGAAGGAGGAAGTACTTCATCAAGTGTCACAAATGGACGGTGAAGCGACAGTTCCCCTTTGCAGCCCGAAAAACAGTTTGCAACTGCAAGGGCCATTCAGTGCTGGTTTCCACCAGACCTCCCAACCTCTGAGGATGCCTGCCATAGATGTGGGCGAAACGTCAGGAGAGAATGCTTCTGGAACATGGCCAGGCAGCCCGGAAAACTCACAGCAACCCAATGCCCTTAATAATATAAGCAATCAGCATTGCAACCCTAAAACCTCCTTTTTCCAAAGTTTCCAGGTGTCTTAATGCTTTTTCTCCCTACGAGTCAAACTCCCAAGAAGTTTCATAATCTAACAACAACAACAACAACAACAACAACAGTAAACAACGGAGAGAAAGCCTACCAAGTGGTGTTCCCATCTCATTAGCCATTCTGGCCAATGTTTCCACTTGGCTGACTAAGGAATGCAGGCCGAGTCTCATCATTGTCCCAAAGGCGCCTGTTTTGCTGGAAGCCGAGGAGAAAACAACAACAACAACAACAACAACAATTTGTGTCCTGTGGCCATGGATATATTCAATACATCTATGCATTTCATGTTGATAGGTCTGGAGAGGTAAGCGACTATTGATTATTTAGTAACCAAAAAAAAAAAATCTTGCCATTGTTAAATAATAAAATAATAAAGTATTGTTATCTATCTCTATCTCTATAATAAAACTGAATGTTTGTATGTACGTATGTTTGTATGCGGAGGTATATGTGGCAGCTTTCTGATTGGCTCCCACTTTCAAAGGCCACTGTGACCAGCATAGGTGACGGACTTGGACCAAACTTGGCACACATAATCCCCATGTCCCCCTTTATGTTCTGGTGAAGTTAGGGGGAGGACGGACAAAGGATGATAGGATTTGTAGTACTTTCCAACCTTTCGGTTCCCATAGACCACTGTGGCTCCCAACAAAGACTGATAAAAACGAAACTTGGCACATGGAGCCCCCATGACCCACTCTACATCCTGCTGCGGTTTGGAGGAGGGCAGGCCATGGATGATGGGACTTGAAGTACCTTCATTCACTTTCCGAGTGAATGAAGGTACTGCGACCCTGATCCAATGACTGATCAAGACCAAACTTGGCACACAGAGCCCCCATGACCCACTCTACATCCTGCTGCGGTTTGGAGGAGGGCAGGCCATGTATGATGGGACTTGAAGTACCTCCACTCACTTCCCGAGACTGCTACGACCCTTATCCAATGAGTGATCAACACCAAACTTGATACACAAAACCCCCATGACCCCTTTTACATCCTGGTGAGGTTTGGGGGGACAGTGGACAATGGATGATGGGATTTGTAGCACTTTCGAGGAGGACAGACCATGGATGATGGGACTTCAAGTACCTCCACTCCCTTCCCGAGACTGCTGCAACCCTTATCTAATGACCGATCAAGACCAAACTTGGCACACAGAGCCGTCATGATCAACTCTACATCCTGGTGCAGTTTGGAGGAGGATGGACCACGGATGATGGGACTTGCAGTAACTTCACTCACTTTCCAAGACCACTGCGACTCTCATCCAATGACTGATCAAGACCAAACTTGGCACACAGAGCCCCCATGACCCACTCTACATCCTGGTGCAGTTGGGAGGAGGGTGGATCATGGATGATGGGACTCGAAGTACCTCCACTCACTTCCCGAGACTGCTGTGACCCTCATCCAATGACTGATCAAGACCAAACTTGGCACACAGAGCCCCCATGACCCGTTGTACATCATACTGCAGTTTGGAGGAGGGCGGACCATGGATGATGGGACTTGAAGTACCTTCACTCACTTCCTGAGACTGCTGCGACCCTCATCCAATGACTGATCAAGACCAAAGTTGGCACACAGAGCCTCCATGACCCACTCTACAGTTTGGTGTTGATCAGTCATTGGACGATGGGACTTGCAGTACCTTCACTCACTTCCTGAGACCGCTGCGAGCCACATACACTTTCACTCACTTCCCTTGACCATAGCAACACTCATCCAATTACTACTAAAGACCAAACTTGGCACACAGAGCCCCCATGGCCAACTCAAGATTTTGGTGCAGTTTGGGGAAGGCGGACTACAGATGATGGGACTTGCAGGACCTTCACTCATTTCCTGAGACCGCTGCGACCCTCATCCAATGACCGATCAAGACCAAACTTGGCACACAGAGCCCCCATGACCCACTCTACATCCTGGTGCAGTTTGGAGGAGGATGGACCACGGATGATGGGACTTGCAGTACCTTCACTCACTTCCTGAGACTGCTGCGACCCTCATCCAATGACTGATCAAGACCAAAGTTGGCACACAGAGCCTCCATGACCCACTCTACAGCCTGGTGCAGTTTGGAGGAGGATGGACCACGGATTATGGGACTTGAAGTACCTCCACTCCCTTACCGAGATCGCTGCTACCCTCATCCAATGACTGATCAAGACCAAACTATACGGACCCGAAACAAACTTGGCACACAGACTCCCCATGATCAACAGAACATACTGGACACGTTTGGGGAAAATTGACCTTGATTTATGGGAGTTGTAGTTCACTTGCATCCAGAGAAACTGTATCCCCCACCGACAATGGGAGAAGTTCATTTGCAATGATTTGACTTGGATTCTTCCCCCCTTTAGAGCCTGAGGAAGAGGAGGCAGGTGAGGAGGGCGAATCCGGCCAGGACGGCCGTGGCCCGGAGGATGCGCTGCCGCCGCCGGGTTCCGGGTCGGGTTCCGTGGGGCAGGGCCTCCTCCGTGCAGGAGAGGTGGAGGAAGGCTCCAGCGGCCAGGCCTTGCAGCACGGAGCACGAGAGGCGGGACAACGGGGAGGAAGAAGGGCCCACCCTCCCTAGCACCAGTCCCAAGGGGGCGGAGGTGGCAAAGAGGGCCACCCCGGCAACCACCGCCCGGCCCCGCAGCCCCCCTTGCACCAGCCGCAGCCCCAAAGCAAAGGCCAGCAGCCCCTGGTGCAGCAATAGGAACACACACGGCTCTAGAACCCGGACGGAGACCCCTTGCAACCCCGAGGAAAGGCACAAGGAGAGCAGCAGGGCGCCCAAGCGCAGGCCAGAGGGAGGGTCTTCGTGGATAGGTGCAGAGGGGCTCCAGGGGGTCTCCTTGCCTCCCTCTTCCTCCTCCTCCTCGTGAGGGTCCTTGCAGGCCAAGAGGATCTGCTCCAGGATCAGGACCAGGAAGAAGCCCACAGACAGGAGGAACTCCGGCAAAGGGAAGAGCAGCTGCAAAGGAAGAGGAGAGAAGAGGGAGATAGAAACACACTCCAGTGTGAGAAACACAGTCCTAATGGACATGTGGTCACAGCAGATTTCACCAAAGGGTTACACAAGTGGAGGTGTGCATCGAGATCAGGCCTGGGCCAACTTGGGCCCTCCTTCCAGGTGGTTTGGACTTCAACTCCCCCAATAATAATAATAATAATAATAATAATAATAATGGGAAGTGTCCGATGTGGGATCCAATACAACAGCCAGCATACTGACTTTGTTATTACTACTACTACTAATAATAATAATAATAGTATTATTATATTATGAGAAGTGTCTGATGTGTGATCCAATACAACAGCCAGCATACCGACTTTGTTGTTATTATTATTATTATTACTACTAATAATAATACCAAAATAAGTATTATAATATTATTATAGTTATTATTATATTATGAGAAGTGTCCGACGTGTGATCCAATACAACAGCCAGCATACTGACCTTGTTATTATTATTACTACTACTAATAACAATATAAGTATTATTATGTTATTATTATATTATGAGAAGTGAAGACCTGGCTATTTGAGAAGGCATTCAACTGAGCGCTACGGCAACTGGTAATTGACAACTGGAACGGAATACGGATTACGGTATTGGTTTGATTCTATGATGTGACAGAGCGGATTATTTAGTGTAACTTAGATTATAGTGTATTATTGTTGTATTGATTTCCTGTTTTGCCCTTTTGTAAACTGTTTTTATATGTTGTGCACCGCCGCGAGTCGCCCTAGGGCTGAGAGCGGCGGTCAATAAATGCAGTAAATAATAAATAAATAATAATAATAAGTGTCCGATGTGTGATCCAATACAACAGCTAGCATACTGACCTTGTTATTATTACTACTAATAATACCAAAATAAGTATTATTATTATTATTATTATTATTATTATATTATGAGAAGTGTCCCACATGTGATCCAATACCACAGCCAGCATACTTTGTTATTATTATTACTACTAATAATAACAATATAAGTATTATAATATTATTATTATATTATTAGAAGTGTGATCCAAAACCTTGTTATTATTATTATTAATTAATAATATAATATTAGTTAATAATATATATTATATTATGTTATATATATTATATAAAATATATATTATATATATATTATATAATATATAATATTAGTAAATAATATATAATATAATATAAGTTAATAATATAATATAAAGTATTATTATATTATTATTATTATATTATGAGAAGTGTCCAACGTGTGATCCAAAACCTTGTTATTATTATTATTAGTTAATATAATATTAGTTAATAATATGTAATGTAATATTTATATATAATATAATATATAATAATATAATATTCGTTATTAATAAATATATAATATGTTATATATTATATTATGTTATATATATTATATTATATATAATAGTTAATAATATAATATATATACAATATAATAATATATAATAATATAATATTAGTTAATAATATAATATAAAGTATTATATTATTATTATTATTATTATTATATTATGAGAAGTGTCCGGCGTGTGACCCAATACAACAGCCAGCGTACTGACCTTGTTATTATTAACAAGTGATCTTGTCGGCTGTGGACTCATCTTGTTGTGTTTCAAACAATATTAATAACAATAACAATTTAATTTGCCATTATTTGGCTTGGATTCCTCCCTCCCAGGCCACCTTGAAGCTCTGTTGACCGAAAGACTATGCGGTGATTGGGGAAGTCTGCCACCTAGAGACCAAAGGCGGTACTGCAATACGTAAATACAGCCAAGGAAAATATACTGATAGTTTCCAGCATCAGGGGATTCTGGGAGATGTATTGTCGAAGGCTTTCATGGCTGGAATCACTAGGTTCTTGTGGGTTTTTTCGGGCTATATGGCCATGGTCTAGAGGCATTTCTCCTGACGTTTCGCCTGCATCTATGGCAAGCATCCTCAGAGGTGAGGTCTGAGGATGCCTGCCATAGATGCAGGCGAAACGTCAGGAGAAATGCCTCTAGAACATGGCCATATAGCCCGAAAAAACCCACAAGAACTGAGAGATTCTGGGAGAACTTAACTTTCCATGATTTGTTTGGATTTTTCCCCCTCCAGCCACACTCACCGTGACCCGGAGCTCTTCCAGGGCCCCATTGATGGCGCCCAGGTAATTGGGGAGGAGGTCCAGGAGGCAGGCGGCCAGGAAGACCCCGCTGGTAAAGCAGCTGAGCAGGCCGAGGGACTCCCTCCGGAGCGCTGCAGGAGAGGAGACGAGAGGAGAGGAGGGGGCTTAGAGGAGGACCACAGGAGGGGGCCCCCAAAGGGCATCCAGCCCAGCCTCTTCTTTCTGCTGGGAAGGAAGGCACAACTAAACCATTCCCAGTAAATGGCCATCCAGGTTCTTCTTCTTATTATTATTAATAATAATATCAAGTTGGAAGGGACCCCCCAAAGACCATCCAGTCCAACCCTTTCCTGCCATAATAGACAGATGAAGGCACAACTAAATCACTCCCAATAAATGGACATCCAGGTTCTTCTTCTTATTATTATTAATAATAATAATATCCTAAATTTGGAAGGGACCCCAAAGGCTATCCAGTCCAACCCTTTCCTGCCATAATAGATAAATGAAGGCACAACTAAACCACTCCCAATAAACGGCCATCCAGGTCCTTCTAATTATTATGATTATTATTAATAATAATAATAATAATAACAATATAAGTATTATTATATTATAGGAATTGTCCGATGTGTGATCCAATACAACAGCCAGCATACTGACCTTGTCGGTTGTGTACTAATCTTGTTATGTTTCAAATAATAGTATCCTACAGTTGGAAGTGGCCCCAAAGAAGGCCATGCAGTCCAGCCCCTTTCTTTCTGCCAAGCAGGAAAAGCACCATCAAAGCCCTCCCGACACATGGCCATTCTGTGCCGAAGGGAAATGGGAAGGGAGAAATGGGGAAGCGAAGGAGGAAAGGGTAGCTGTCCCAGGAAGGAAAGGGGAAGGAAGGAAGAAGGGAAGGAAGGCATGCTCACCGGAGGGGCCTGGAGGGAAGAGGCGCAGGGGCATGAGCCCGCCGAGGAGGGTTGCGGCCAGCAGGGTGGCCAGAGAGCCCAGCTTGACCACCTCCGGCCCTGCAGAATGGAGTGGCGGCAAGGGGCCCCAGGCCAAGGGCCCCAAGGGGTCTGCCATGAGCGCGGCTGCTTCAAAGCCAGGACCCGATGGCAAGGCCGTCCAGCGTTTCCTTCAAAGGGTCACTCCTTTGCCGGACAGGTCATGCTCCTCAATGGAAGGCCACCTGGAAGACATGAAGGCACCGTGTATCCCAAAAGGAATCCCCAGCAGATCTTTCTACAATGACAACAACAAACAACAACAACATTCGAAGCTATACGGACTGAAGAACGATGCAGTACTATCCTCAGCCCGCCACCTGCAGACTGAAGGCGGTACTGCAGGATTCAGATTGCGCTCTGCAATATAACAAAAATAATTTATTTATTTATTATTTACTGTATTTGTATACCGCCTTTCTCAGCCAATTGGGGACTCAAGGCGGTTTCCATCTTTATTTATAGCCCGCTTTTCTCCCACAAAGGGACCCAAAAGCAGCTTCTGGAATATCCATTCCATGCAAACAACAATCCAAGTGCATATAAAACAAATAAAACAATAAACATACAAACATCTTAAAACAGCTTTTAAACAATATGCGTTAAAGTGGTATCTCTGCCACACAATGACTGTTCACTGTAATAATAATAATAATAATAATAATAAATATTTCCTGTCTTCTCTAGAACAATGTTTACTGCTGTTATTTCTATTATAGTATTTTCCTTTATCATATTTCCTATTATATTATTATTATTATTATTATTATTATTATTATTATTATATTTCCTATATTATTATTATATTTCCTATTATTATATTGCCTGTTATTATTATTTCTATATTATTATTATATTTCCTATTATATTACAATTATTATAGTTTCTATATTATTATATTCCCTATTATTGTATTTCCTGTTATTATCATATATCCTATATTATTATTGTATTTCCTATTATATGATAATTATTATAGTTTCTATATTATTATATTTCCTATTTTACTTTAATTATTATAGCTTCTATATTATTATTATATTTCCTGTTATTATTATATTTGCTATTATATTACAATGATTATAGTTTCTATATTATTATCATATTCCCTATTATGGTATTTCCTGTTATTTTTATATATCCTATATTATTATATTTCCTATTATAATTAATTATAGTTCCTATATTATTATACTATTTCCTATTATTTTATTATATTCCCTATTATTGTATTTCCTGTTATTATCATATAACCTATATTATTATTGTATTTCCTATTATATTACAATTATTATAGTTTCTACATTATTATTATAATATTTCCTATTATTGTATTTCCTGTTATTATCATATAACCTATATTATTATTGTATTTCCTATTATATGATAATTATTATAGCTTCTATATTATTATATTTCCTATTATTATTATATTTCCTATTATATTACAATTATTATAGTTTCTACATTATTATATTCCCTATTATTGTATTTCCTGTTATTATTATATATCCTATATTATTATTATATTTGCTATTATAATTAATTATAGTTCCTATATTATTATTACATTTCCTATTATTATAATATTATATTTTCTATTATTGTATTTCCTGTTATTATTGTATATCCTATATTATTATTATATTTCCTATTATATCAAAATGATTATAGTTTCTATATTATTATTATATTCCCTATAATTGTATTTCCTGTTATTATCATATATCCTATATTATTATTATTATTATTATATTTCCTATTATATTAAAATTATTATTGTTTCTACATTATTATTATATTCCGTATTAATGTATTTCCTGTTATTATTATATATCCTATATTATTATTATTATTATTATTATGTTTCCTATTATATCAAAATGATTATAGTTTCTACATTATTATTATATTCCCTATAATTGTATTTCCTGTTATTATCATATATCCTATATTATTATTATTATATTTCCTATTATATTAAAATTATTATTGTTTCTACATTATTATTATATTCCGTATTAATGTATTTCCTGTTATTATTATATATCCTATATTATTATTATTATTATTATTATTATGTTTCCTATTATATCAAAATGATTATAGTTTCTACATTATTATTATATTCCCTATAATTGTATTTCCTGTTATTATCATATATCCTATATTATTATTATTATATTTCCTATTATATTAAAATTATTATTGTTTCTACATTATTATTATATTCCGTATTAATGTATTTCCTGTTATTATTATATATCCTATATTATTATTATTATTATTATTATTATGTTTCCTATTATATCAAAATGATTATAGTTTCTACATTATTATTATATTCCCTATAATTGTATTTCCTGTTATTATCATATATCCTATATTATTATTATTATATTTCCTATTATATTAAAATTATTATTGTTTCTACATTATTATTATATTCCCTATTAATGTATTTCCTGTTATTATTATATATCCTATATTATTATTATTATTATTATGTTTCCTATTATATCAAAATGATTATAGTTTCTACATTATTATTATATTCCCTATAATTGTATTTCCTGTTATTACTGTATATCCTATATTATTATTATATTTCCTATTATATCAAAATGATTAGTTTCTATATTATTATTATATTCCCTATAATTGTATTTCCTGTTATTATCATATATCCTATATTATTATTATTATTATTATTATATTTCCTATTATATTAAAATTATTAGTTTCTACATTATTATTATATTCCCTATTATTGTATTTCCTGTTATTATTATATATCTTATATTATTATTATATTTCCTATTATATTATAATGATTATAGTTTCTATATTATTATTATATTCCCTATTATAATTGATTATAGTTCCTATATTATTATAATATTTCCTATTATTATAATATTATATTTGCTATTATTGTATTTTTACTGTTATCATATATCCTATATTATATTTCCTATTATATAATAATTATTATAGTTTCTATATTATTATATTTCCTATTACATTTTAATTATTATAGCTTCTCTATTATTATTATATTTCCTATTATTATAATATTTTATTTCCTATTATTGTATTTCCTGTTATTATTATATTTCCTATTATATTATAGTTTTTATATTATTATATTTCCTATTATTTATTTCCTATTATTATTATTATTATATTATTTTTATGTTGCTTTGTAGTTTCTCTTCCAGAACCAGCCTTTCCCTCTTTTGGACTTCAACTCCCAGAATCCTTAGTTGTTTGGGCCATGGCAAGGCATTCTGGGAGTTGTAGTCCACTTTTTGAAAAGGCCTCCCTCAAAGGGGCAGAGGAAAGGGCTCCATGACAGGGCACTACCGAACACATCCTCCCCGAAACACTTCGGCCTCCGGACTCACCGCGTGCCGCTTCCCTTCAGGCTCCAACCGGAAATAGGCCTTCACACGCCTCTGGAGTTCCCGCAGATGGGAGAAAAACCCCGGAAGCCGCTCGGCCAATCAGGACGCCCGCTCAGCCCTTACGTCACCGCGCGGGCGTTCGAAAGGGGCGTGGCGCTCCCCTTAGGCTCTAAGTGGGCGGTCCCCAAATGGAATGCAAATATATATGAAACAGTTCGAGCCAATGGGAGCAGGCGCTTTCCTAAAAGGGGCGTGGAGATGCAAATAAGTCAAGCCGTTTGAGGCAATAGGAACAGGCGCCTTCCAAATATGGGATATGCAGATTTTCTCAACGAGTTCTAGCCAATGGGAGCAGGGGCCTTCTCAAAATGGGCGTGGAGATGCAAATACCTCAAAGAGTTTGAGGCAATGGGAGCAGGCGCCTTCCAAATATGGGATATGCAGATTTTCTCAACGAGTTCTAGCCAATGGGAACAGGCGCCTTCCCAAAATGGGCGTGGAGATGCAAATACCTCAAGCAGTTTGAGGCAATGGGAGCAGGCGCCTTCCAAATATGGGATATGCAGATTTTCTCAACCAGTTCCAGCCAATGGGAGCAGGGCCTTCCCAAAATGGGCGTGGGTATGCAGATACATCAACCGGTTCCAGCCAATGGGAGCAGGCGCGCCCTACGAATGGGATCGGCTTAGGTCTAGATTGGCGTAAGGACTTCAACTCCCAGAAGCCTCGGCCGCTGTCTCCAAGGCGCAGGGATTCTGGGAATTGGAGTCCAAACCTTATAGGACAAGAATGGAGTGCTTATTGAACTTTTGGAAAGTACAAGAAAGTTGAGATGACATCCCACCACCAAGAATAACATTATTTTAATACATTAATAATTATAATATGTAATTTAATTGAAATATTTAAATATGGATGGATTTAAATACCTGGGGCCAGGACAGGTGTGTGCCCTTTGGCGCCTTCTGATTGGCTGCGGGGAGTGGAGGGGGCGTGGCCTGGCCCCAGGAGACCCGGATGCCCAGATCCTGTCCTGCTCCAGGAAGACTTCCTCCTTCTCCACCTGAAGACAGGTAAAGGCACCTGGCAGGAGACCCCATAGAGATATATATATATACACCTCCCTTTACCTAATTTTATTATATTTTATTGTATTATATATTGTGTATATATAATATACATTATATAC